CGCTTACACTCATAGAATCTGGGGTTACAATACGTAACCAAGGTTTTTAGACCAAATATTACAGATTTGAACAAATACGCACAAAAACATCAAAATTAGCACAGAAACAGTACTATATAACATTTTAGACACATTCTAGAGAGTTTATCAGCTAAAAAAAGTTAATTTTGGGGTAAGTTACTCTTTARCTCAGGGTTGATGAGATGAGTCTGTTGTTTGATGTCAAACAGTTTTCAGGTTCTGTGCACAAACACCAACATTTCACTGGTCTGATTAATTGTTGAGGCGTTGCTTCAACATTCAAAGTACTTTTATTCAGTTACTCAAAGTAGTTGGGAAGCTTTGATAGCGATTATTAAAACAAATTTAACCAGTCTGAAGATTTTCTGTCAGACAAAGATTTGACATTTTGCAATTTTGACATTTTTTCTGCAAATATGACCAGTTAACCTGAGCCTCTTGAACGGTTTTACTTGGAATCTTTACTTCCTTCCTGCTGCTGAACGCACCTGAGGGTGACTCCACAGGTAACCAGAGACTGTTAATTGAATGCATGCTTCTGCAGAACATTAAACCTGCAGAGAAATAAATTTTGATAAACAGGAAACACCAGAAGAACAGCTCTGTGTGTAACTCAACCAGTTTTACTGCATTCAATTCATCCCAGATTTATGATTTTATTTTAAATTATGCTTTATACTCAAATGTAGCATTTAAACATGTTTGTTATTGGCTCTCAGAAACATGTATTATTTTAAAATGGGCTGCTTGTTTTTGAGAATGTTATGTGCTATTTTTGTGTAAATTTATTGGTTTTAGAACATAGCAACTAAAATAAAATGAAATAGCTGCTGTAAAATCACATTTTAAAATCATGAGGAAAAAAGAGGAAGTGTTGGATTTTAATGGAAAAGTACTTTTTGTTTTAAGTCAGTAATTCATGACATACTTTAACGATCCAGTTTTTCTTGACACTGTCTTTATTGGTAGGCAGAATTGTAGGAAATCATGTTCAATAAGTTGAAAGTCATCAGCAGCTCTGTGCATGAAAAAGGCCTTGGGTCTTATCAGAACCAAAACAACTACACCCTCTCAGCAGCCGTTCTTTTTTTTGTCTGAAGCCAGTTGTTAAAAGAGCTAGAAAAGCAGCTGATTGATTCCTATTGAACGTGAGCACACAGCTGATTTTCAGGTTTTCACGTCATTTTCCATCAACACCATTAAAAAAAAAGTTTTTCCACCGTGGACTCTTCTTCACCCAAAACGACACTGATCATGGAGTGATAAAAAAAATACAATATCCAGCCATCTTTATGGCTGTTTATGTACTTGAATGAGCTGTGGGAGGGCAGAGGGAGGATCTGTAGCTGCGTTTCCATTGACCATGAAAATGCGCAAATTAGAATTTCGAAAACAAATTTGCTCAATGGAAACACGTCAATTTAGAAAAAAACGTACGTTTTTCGACAAAATGTTTTTGTGCTCGGATGAGGTGGTTTTTCGGCCGTATCGAAATTGGTGTATTTCGCAAAACTGCAATGGAAACACTTTTTTCACATCATAAGAGTCACATGATCAACAACCGACTGATTCAACTGGCGAAAAAGAAGACAACAGGAAATAGAAGTAGTAGTAAAATCACCGAAGTTGTAAAAGAAAATAGTAAACTCACCGACTACAATTTCCCAAAAACGCTGCATACGTAGCCGCTCCAAGTATAAGAGGCTTGTCACTCGAAAGCATGGATAAGATGCCGACGTCTCCTCTGTCATTTGGACCCCACATGTATAGGTCTGACTTCCTGGTCACACCTGCAGGGGTACCTTTTATGTCAGACCTTAGAATGTAACCAGCTTTGTTTATATTACAGAGAGGCCTCATATTGATAAGACACACTGACTCTCATTCTGTTTAAACCATATGGCTGTAAAGTGTCTTAAAATCAGTTAATCAGTCACAAGATTTGCWAACAGCAGTCACTCTTAAATATCACTTATATTTATCTCTGTTGTCCTATGACCCAGCAAGACACTTAAGATGAAATCTTGCTTTATTAAAATGACATAATAGTGTTTGTTAAACACTTACCCCTAATTTACACTACATGCGTTCCGTCTCCACTCCGCTCCGGTCCGACCTCCGCAGCAAATACACACCCATTATAACCAGTGAGAGTGTTTACACTTGTTGCACACGGTGGTGGTGAGCGGACGGTGATCCGTCAAAATTAGAACAGATCCTGTTTTTGCCAGACACCGGAGCTGCGCCGGAGTCAATTTTTAAAGATTACGTCGCACCAACAGGAAAAGAAACGAGCACAACATCCGTATTTTCAAAATAAGACACTATTCGGCGGAATAATTTGTCGGAATAATGTCGAAATTGCGGCTATATTAATAAATGTACGGATATATTTCTACACAAATGCTGTCAGAACGTAAC